GGTGGTGGTGGTGGTGGTGGTGGTGGTGGTTTAGAGCTGAGCTTTTTTTCTTGGAGTGGGGCAGAGGATTCAAGCTCCACCTCGCTCTGCAGGGTCCAACTTTGCAGGGGCTGCCTTTGAACCATCAACTCGACTGGGGCTGAGCCATTTGCGACTGGATGCGGCGAGGCATGTAGCATCGATGCGCGCCCTTGTCTTTCTCCCTCCCGCACGCTTGGCACACTTTGCCCATGCACGACCCGCCACCATCCACCCGGACGTTGTGCCCGACTCGGTGGACCCTGCAGCTGCTTCCCTCGACGACTGGAGCGTTTCCGAGGTGGATGTCCCTCCCGGCGTGCCTTGGCAAGTGCTCCATCCGCGCCTCCTCGACGAGACACGCGCCGAAGAGAGCAGAAAGAGGGTGCGCATCGATTCGCCCGTGGTCGTGATCGAGACACCCACACGCCCCGTCAGCATCGCACCCGCGGTGCCGGATCGACTCGCTACAGAGACAACCGAGGAGGAGGAGGGAGATACGAGCAAGGTCGTCGTGGGTCCGGACAGCGATGAAGACGTCTCGCCCGATATCTCACTCTTGCACAAGGTGCCCGCAGTACGGGCGGGTGGGAATACTGCATCGGTGGATGAGGGGGTGCGCTTGGCTTCGCAGTCTGCATCGTCGCTTCAGGTTCGCCCGCCACGACCTGCATATGCACCGCCACCCACTTGTCGGTTCACCTTCTTCCGCCGTACGTCGTGCGTCTCCTCTACAAGCGTCTCGGCAGCACAAACTACAACGCACGACGCTTCTGAGGCACCGCCACCGGAGCACGAGGCGGATGTGGACCACCCCGCAGGCGGTGTCAAGTTGGTGCGCACGCTTCCGGCAATGAACGCCTACGAAGCCTCCTTCCACCCTCCCTCGGCCGGCGATGGCGAAGGCGAAGCATCTCTGGGCGATTCCATCGTTCCGCCTCCCACGCTGCACTTTACCCTCGCGCAGATCACGCCTCTCTCCTCCATCCTCTCGCCGCTCTCCCTGCCCCGGCGGGATACGCCCGGTGCCGCCTCGTCGCGCATCAACCTCCTCGTCGTCATGCGCGACATGGGCGACACTGCGCGCGTCCGTCGACTCAAGACCACCACGACTCGTCTCGAACTCGTCGTCATGGACGGCACCCTCACCCGAGCGGGCGTTGAGAAGCACCTGCTCAAACTCGTCCTCTGGGACCACCTCACCCTGACCCCACTCCAACCGGGAGACGTAGTGTTTGTCCAAAACGTCTCGATCCAACCCCCCGACCCCAAACCCCGTCTCGGTCCCGGCTTCCCACGAGCCACTGTGGCACATGCAGCCCAGAGCCACAACTCGAGCATCCAACTCTGCTACCGATCCAACGTCACCACCCCCGCCGACGCAGCCCTCAACTTCGACCCGGCCATCGCAGCCTTCGACGCCAAGTCCAATCGCATCCTCCAGCTCGTCGCACTCTGGAATCACACCCCCACCTGACCCCATCCCCCCTTGGCGTGAGAAAAAGAAAGGAGATTGAGCAGCAAAGTCATAAAAGTACAAAGGCATCTTACCACCAGCTACCGGCCTGAGGCGTGCCTCCATCGGCTCCGAGCATGCGGCCAAAGTCGGCCTCGCGCCCACCCGGACCACTGCCACCCCCGCGCTCCGCACCCGGCGTGGCCAGGTCGAGCATGACACTATCGTGCCCCGCCAAATTACTCGGCGTGCCCACACCCGCCACATCGATCGCTGCATCCTCCACCGCCGTGGCCCCCGTCACTGGAGCGCTCGCCTCATTCTGCGCGAAGCCAGCCGAGGCGGCGAAGGGATTGTGGATGCCCGCCGCAGCCGCGACGGACGCGGTGGCGCCCAGCGGGTTCTGCGCAAAGAACGCCGGGAACTTTTCCGCCGCCTGGTGCACGGCGTACGCCAGCGCCGGATGCGCCGAGAATGCCGCCGACAGCGTCTGGATGTCCGTCTGGCTCGGCCCACCGGGCACGGGCGGAGAGGTGGCCGATGCCGACGAGGTCGGCGTGCCGTTGGAGCCCGACATGGACGGCGGGCCCGAGGCGGCTTGCTGCTGCGCCCATGCGCCCCATCCCGGCGCAGGGCCAGGTGCCGGTGCCGGTGCCGGTGCCGGTGCATCGCCCGCATCAGCGCCAGGCGCAGGCACCCCCGTCGAGAACCGATTGACCGCCGTCGCAAACGCGTCGTTGAGCTGGTGCGCCACATTGCCCTCGTTGCCAAGCGAAGGCCACGACGGTCCCGGCACATCCGCCGACCCCGGCGCCGACGCCGACGTGCCCGCTGCCGCCTTGGCCTCGCTCGGCTGCAGCTGGAACGTGACCGAGTTCGACTTGGCGCGTGCCGGCTTATCCACCGCCATGGGCTCCTGCACACCCGCCACCGCCGACGCCTCTGCCTGCGGCTGCGGCGATGTGCGTCTCGAACTCGCCGTCGACGCACGCCCGCGCTTCTCGTCGTAGCGCGAGCGCTTCTTGATCACATCAGCGCGCATCGTCACCGGCCGATGCTCATTATGCAGCTTGAGATACAGCCCGCACGCATTGCACACGGTATGCCCCGCATCGTCCTTGCGCCACAGCGGCGTGGTGTACGTACCGCAATTGTAGCACGACATCATATCGTCCGCGCCCGCCTCGCCCTCGCGCGACGGCGACCCTGCGCGCGATCCGGGCGCCGACGCACCCCCAGGCGTAGCCGAGGGCGTCATGTGTCCGGCGTGCGAGTGGCTGTGGTGGCTCTTGAGGCTCTTGGGCCTTGGCGTCTTGTGCAGCTTGAGGTAGAGCCCGCAGGCATTGCACAGCAGCAGGTCGTTCGGATCGCGCCGCCACAGCGGCGTCGAGGTGGCGCCGCAGTTGGTGCACTGCGCCTGCGTCGGCTGCGCGTTGGTGGCGATGCTGGGCGTCGAGCTGCCCGGCGGCAGCGCATCCGGCTTCCTGTTGAGCTCCGGGTTGATCGCGGTGAAGGCGATGGAGCCGGCGATGCTCTTGCGTCCGCGCGGCTTGGGCTTGGGCATGCCGTCTGACGACGTGAGTGCGCCGTCGGTCGAGTGGCGCTTGACGGCACGCGAGGTGCCGGCGCTCGTCGAGGGGCCCGGGCTCGAGCCGGAGCGACCGATATGGCCGAGCGAGGGACGCATGGTGGGCGACGAGGGCGCCGAGAGCGAGTCGACGGGGCGGTCGGCACCCTGGAATGGCCCGGCCTCGGGCGCCAGCAGCGGCGTCGTGGGCACCGAGACCGAGGTGCCGCGCGCGCCAAACAGCGACGGCTGCGGGTGCCCGCCGTGGATCGTCGAGACGGAAGTATCAATGTGCAGGCCGCCCATCGGATTCTGCGCATTCGCCACGCTTCCGTACGCGGAGAGGGGCAGATGCGCGCCCTCGGGCAAGCTCTGCGACAGCGCGGTCGCCTTGTCTGCGGTGCCCATCGAGTTGTTGGTCGAGAGCCAGTCGGGCTGGCTGCCCCAGACGCTGCCGACGCTGGCGTCTGGGCTGGGTTCCTTGGACTCTGGGCGCGAGCTGTTCTGGATGTGCGTGCGCTGGGTCTGTTCGGAGAGCTTGCGCATGGTCCTGAGCTCCTCTGCCTTTTTGCGCGCGAGTTCCGACGCGACCTTCTGTGGCTGTGGGTCGGTCTTTTTGCGCCTGTTCTGCTTGAGCTTGACCGGGCCGACGCTCTGACGGCTGGGGCCCGAGGATGGCGCTGCGGCGCCGCTGGCGAAGCCCTGGACGGACGAGAGGTCTGCAAAGGAGTGGTCGAAGGGCGCGTTGAAGTTGGGCAGGTCGCCGACGGGCAGGCCGAGGTCGGCGAGGTCCATCTGCACGTCCTCCATGCCGCCGAGACCTGCGAGGAGGCTGTCGAGCGGCGCGTTGAGGTCGATGTGGTGGTTGAGCAGCAGCTCGCGCTCTGCCGCCTCGATGTCCTCGATGCGGTATCCGGCGGATGCGGTGCCGAGGTTGCTCATGCCTGCGCTCGCCATGATCTGGTCAAAGGTGGCGCCCGAGTCGACTGCGCCGAATGCGAGCGGGTGGTCTGTGCTGAGCTCCATGGCGTCGGAGCGCGCGGCGTCGGTGTTGGAGGCGGGCGGGGAGAGGTTGAGGGGGAACTTGTTGGTGGTGCCGACGGGAGCGTTCTGGCGCTGGTTGTGTGCGTACTCTCTGGAGGCATCCTTGTTACCGACGGTGGTCTGCTTGAAGTTGACGGTGGGGTCGAGCGCAAAAGTGTACTGCATGTCCTTCATGGACTGCTTGCTGCCGCCGACGCTGCTGCGAAACTTGCCCTGAAGCTTGGCGACGGCGAGCGCGCGGAGCTTCTGGCGCTCGACGGCCTTTTTGCGAAGCGCCTCGCCCGAGTCGGTCTTGCGGAAGGGCGGAGCGGTGAGCTCGCCGATGGCGCGTCCGCGGTCGCGGTCGAGCTTCTCGCCGGTGGACTTGGAGAGCTTCTTAAAGTCGCGGCGGCTCTTTACGTCGTCGTTCTCGACCATGAGGTCGTGGAGATACCAGAGTCGCCAGCTGAGGTTTTCGAGACGCTGACCCTGCTCGAGGTGTGCGGCGACCTTGGTGCATACCCGCCAGGTGCGCAGCAACGAGTCTTCATCGTGCAGGTTGGAGAAGGGGCTGAAGGACTTGTTGCCCTTGACCTTGAGCAGCAAGGGAGCCATGGTGTGCAGCAGCTGCTAGCGGCCTAGGCGGGCCGCAGTGGTTGTTGGCGGCTGAACCCGGAACGGCTGAGCTGGAGCGTGTCGCAGGTGTCGCAGGTGTCGCAGGGTGGTGTGAGTGACTGTGGATGGAAGGCGAGTGGTGTCGGCGCGGCCGAGTTGAGTTGATTTTCAGCGGGATGCGATCGAGCGCAGGTCGCTGACCGGTCCGGGAGCGCCTTGGCAAACGCGTCTTTCGGATGAAGCGTCAAGCCTATCTGAAAGCTCCGACGGGAGGTTTATCGCACGTGCAGAGTGTGCGGATGTTGTGCGGGCTTCAGGACCGGGTGGGCCGATCGAGACGAGCGATGGGAGTGGCTTCCGATGCGAAGCTCCGGGTCGAGTTTGAGTCTGAAGGGCTATTGTGCGTGTTGGGGTGTCGGAGGGGCCGCTGGTGACGGCGCTAGGAGCGACCTCCAATCGGCGCTGTGCGTGTACTATCGGAGTGATGCCGATGCGTTGCGGTTGGTTAGAAAGAGCAGCGGGCACTAATTGCGCTTTCGCGGACGGTGATGACGATCGAGATGGTGGTGATGGACTAGGGCCTTCCAAGAAGGGCTCGAGGGCCATGCAGAGAGTGACTTTGCAGTCGGCTTTGCAGTTGGCTTTGCTGTGGGTATGCAGGTCCGCGCCTCTGGATGACTGGGCCAAGAGGCACGAGGCGAGTGCGGGCTTCTTTTGCGAGGCGTGCATCGCTGCTCTCGACCTGCTGCTGCTGCTGCTGCTGTTCGGCAAAGGTCCCCAGGGCCCTGGACGGGGAGGGGGGGGCGAAAAGGGTCGAAAAAAGCAGCGCTCTCGCCGTGGGGGGGAGAAAGCCCACCTGAGCGCGAAAAATTCACAGCAAAGAGAGAGAGAGAGAGGCGAGGCAAACGAGGGCATCGAGGGGCGCTGCATCTGGCTTTGCTCTTCTTTGCGCGTCGTGCAGGTGCAGGTGCAGGTGCAAGTGCGGCGCTGAATATGAAGCAGCTGCTCAACGAATTGAAACTACCTGCTGCCCACCAAAATGCAATTTCAAAAAAAGGAAAGACCCTCCGTACTCGAGAGTTCGTCCGTCTAGTCGAGTCCAGCCCAGGCCAGGCAGGCTTACGGTGGCCGCCAAAGCTGGCTCTCAGATGAAGCGTCATGCAAGCCGCGCTCCGCTGCATGCTGCCCAGTTTTCGCGTGGGTGGGAAAAACCGCGCGAAAAATCGCGCAATTGGTTTTTTTTTTCATTCTTCTTTTCTTGGGGTAGGCCAAAACAGGCACGGACCCGCCAAGCGTCGCAGCCAAAGCTGCAGCCGAGACTCGACTTAGGTCCCCACCCCAACAGCTCACCACCAAAAATCACCGAGCCAAGGCAGACCAACACCGAGCAAGCTCCACACGCATACATCCAACTCGGCTTACCCCACACGCGGTGCCCATTGGCATTGGTATGGCATTGCTAGTGCTGCTCGCTGTAGCGCGCGATGAACGCACCGTCGGCGCCGTAGGTCTCCGCGACAACGCCGTACCGCACGCCATGCACGCCTTGCGTCTCGCTGCGCGTCGCAACCAGCTCGGCCACCGCCCCGCTCGCCAGGGCACATCGCAACGTCTTGCGGCCAGTCCACCTCGCTCCGTCTGCGTCCGCGTCGTCGTGCAGTTGGATCGCGACCTTGACGTCGTAGGCGTCTGAGAAGTTGCGCACCACAAAGCGGTACCTCCTCTCCGCCTCGTCGTCCTCCGTGGAAGCGAGCGTGGGGTGGATCACGGCGGGGTTCTGCTCCGCGTTGAGTCGGCTCGCTACGATGTTGGCCAGCACCGTAGCTTTCTCTTTGATCGTCTCGGCGTACAGACTGCGCACCTGCGCTGCCTTGCCTGCACCCTCCTCCAGCCGAGGATGCGTGATCGCCCGGATCTGACTGCGCAATGGCCCCGGTTGAAGCCCGTAGACCGCCACCTGACCGGACCGGGCGCTGCTCTCGGCGCGCGTCTGCAGTGTAAAGTGCACCACGACGTCCAGGTCGCGCGGCTCCCACAGCGTGAAGGCGTCGCGCCGGTCGCGGGCAGCCAGCGTCGGGAATGCAGCACCAAGCCACCGACTACGCCACACCTTGCGAGCCTCCCGATGCAGACCCAGCATCACCCCCTCGCACTCGGGAGCAAATGCGCGACTGGTGAGGTGTAGCTTCACGTCGGCCGCACGTGCACGCCGCGTGTCTCGGCTCAGCAACACCTCCTGCAGCTTGGTGGCCGTATACTCGTCCATCTCCCCCTCGGCACTTGCAGCTTCCACCGACACCTGCTCGCGCCACACCTGCAGCGGCGCAATCACCACACTTTGCGGCATCGCCGACGACCCGACGAGCTTCCAGCCGGGACCGAGCAGAGACAGTGCAGCCACGCGGATCTCGTCGCTGCCCAGCCGGTTGGTCGCTTCGATCGTCACGGTGTGCACGCATTTGGTGCTGCGCTCCGGCTCCGTGGTGACGTTGATCTGCAGCGCCGCAGACACCTTGGTCGAGAGCGCCAGGCGCGATAGATACGTCTCGCCATCGCCAGACGAGAACGGCAGCAGCCATGCGATGCTCACCGCGCCCGTTCTGTTGGGCCGCACCACCAGCCACCGCTCCACCTCCTCGCCCGGCAGAAGCTGCCCGTTGCCCAACACATCCTCCGGACCCGCCGGGTCCAGGTGATTCACCATCGTCGTTTCCTCTGCGCTGAAGCCATCGGCGTGGAAGGTCGCCAGTTCCGGTTGGTCGCACAGCGCACGCACGTCCTCGATCGGCGCGCCGCCCTCGTTCTTGAACACCACCTTGAGCCGCACCAGCTCACCGAGCAGCATGTGGCCGGGAGCGAGCACGATGCGTGCGGTGAGCGTGGGGCGCGCCGCATGCACCGACACCGCCAAGCTCAGCTCGCGCCCATACACCACCGCCGCACGCTGCTCCTTGGTCGCATTCAGCCGCCGCCCCCTTTTCACCAGCGGCTGCACGAGTTCGATCGCATCCGCCAGCCGGAAGGCTACGCTGGCCACGCGCAGCGCCTTGGCCTCTTTGCTCGCTCGCATCGCAACGCTGATCCGTCGATGCTCGAAGGCGCCCAGCACCATCCGCCCCGGATCCTCCGTCTCCAAATCGCTGAAATCGTCTGGTTCGGCAGTGTCGTGCTTGAGCACAGGGCGGATGTGGTCGACAGCAAGTTCAACGCCGAGCGGATTGTGCAGTGCCATCTCGAGCCAGAACGTCTGGCCGAGGGGCACTTCCCTCGCCTGCGTCGACGTTTTGCTCGTCGGCCTCTTGCGTCTGCTCTTCGACCCGTCCGCATGCGTTCGCTCGCCCAACCCACTCGCCACCAGTTGCTCCTCCAGCCGCTCCCACACTTCCTCGTCCACCGCCGACGTCGCCGAGGCGCTCGACTCGGGCACAAAGCGCAGCGACGCCGACGCCGCATCGAACATGGGTACGGGCAGAGCCAAGGCGGTTGCAGCCGCGCCTGGCTCGGAGTCGGGCTGCTCGCCTGCGCGGCCCGAGTACTTGTACGCCGTCTGGACCGCTTTGAGGAACGCGTCGTGCTCTGCACTCGAGTTGGCGCTGGGCCGCACGAGCCGCACGAGGTGCGCGAGCGCGGTGTCCGAGTCGCCATCGTTGTACGCCTGCATGCCCAGCTCGTGTTCGATGTGGTTCTCCACCAGCGTCCAGCCCTTGTCGCGGTAGACGATGGCAGCATTTGCATAGCAGCGTAACGACAACGCCTTCTGCCCGCACGCCTGGTACTTGTGCGCGGCCGTGACGAGATGCAGTGCGTACTTGCGCAGCGCCGCACGCGGCCTTAGCTGCAAACACGCCAGCGCCGCCTGCTCCAGCAACAGCGGCGCCAGCACCTCGTCCGAGCGTTGCGACATGCGCAGCAGCCCCGCCGGAGCCGGTCGCAGATAGCCCAGCATCCGGTAGGCCTCGTAGTACAGCAGCGTGGCGCGCAGGGCGTTGTTCTCGTCCATCGCGGGCGCTGCACGCGCCGCCGACCGCAGTGTGTACTCCTGACACGCCTGCGCGAGGTAGCTGTCCACATCGATGGGCGCACTGCGTGCCGTGTACATGATCATCAGATGCGACAGTCCAAACATCTCGGTCGCCGCTGCAGAGTGCCGATGCGCCTTGTCGCCCGCAAAGTCCTTGCGGCCCAAGTCGTACATGGAGGCAGCCAGCTTGTAGTCGCGGATGGTGAAGGCGAAATCGGCCAGACGCCGCGTCTGCGCCTCGATCGAGGTGTACGGGTACCACTCGTTCTGCGCATCGTACCCGCCGGAAGTCGCCAGGCCGCCGGGCGTCGAAGAGCCGCTGCCGCTCTTGTCGCTCGAGCCACCCACACTGACGCCGCCAAAGAGCTTGCGCGACGCACCGAAGAGACGGTTGGTCAGTCCGCGGCGCGAGTTGGTCAGGTGCTCGCCCATGTGCTGCACGTAGCGCTCCATGAACGGCACGATCGACTGCGCGGTCAACTCGCGGATGAAGCCTTTGATCCGCTTCACGTCCTCCTCGTCCAGGACAGCAGCCAGCTTGGCGGGCGTCGAATCACCCGGTGGGCTCATCGGATTTGGCGAAGTCGGCAAAGTCGGCAGGTAGGGCGACCAAAGCGCAGCCAGCTCCGCGGGCGCACCGGACCGTTCCTCCGGTGCACTGTTGATGGCCAGAAGGCAGCAGTGCAGGCCGTACGTCTTTTTGATCTGCTCCAGCATCTCCTTTGAGCTGCCAAGGTCGGGGCCCGACGTGCGCACGTCATGGATGAGAACGTAGTACTTGAGCACGTCCGTGTTGATGAAGGGCTGGGCGGGGAACGGCGACGCCTGCGAGGTGACTTCGTACAGCTTGGCAAAGTCGTTCATCGGATCCGGCGATGCGGACGACACCGCCAGAAGCACCGCAACAGGGTGGCCGAATGTTTCGTGCTTGCAAACGGGTCTTTGGCTGAACACCAGCTGCTGGACGGCAGCGAACCACGGCGTTGTCTCTTCCAGCGAGCCTCGCTGCAGCTTGGCCAGCGTTTCTTCCAAGGCTTTCCCTGCAGCTTCCTTTTCGTCGAGCTCGTCGGACGCATTCTCCGATCCTGCCTCGTGCTGCTGCCCAGCTGCGTTCGGCCTGGGTACTTGAGCATCCCACTTCTTGATGTTGGTGGCGATCAGCTGGTTGACCTGGTCGAGCAGCTCTTCTGCCGACCGACCCGCTACCGATGGCCGCGACACCTCGGACAGGGCCGGATTGACCGCACGCGTAGCCTGAGCGTTGAATATCGAGTACGGATCGAAGCGGAGCGGGAAGCGATCGCACACGCGCGTCTCGAGCTGCGAGGTGCGCACCGAAAGCCGCTCCACCGAGAACTCGAACGGCCGCAGCAGCGTCGACAGATCCGGGATGCCGTTGAACTGGATCACCCGGTCCACATCGGGACTCGAGAGCACTGCAACGCGCGGCGACAGCGCCGCATGGATCCGAAGGTCGCTCATATCCCCTACCACCGCGTCGATCTGCTGCGCAAACTAGGTCGATGGACAAGCCTCGGTTGATCTGAAAGTCTAGGCGGAGGGTGACATGGCTTAATGCCAAGGGATGTGTTGCCGTGACCTTATCGTAGAGATCTCAGAGGCAAGCAGGCGGGTATGATAGCGAGGTCGAGATTCAGTCTATGGCTGGTAATGATGTGAGAAGGAGACAAGGTGAGCGGTGGGGCAAGCGCATTCAGAGGGTCCGTGTGTCGTGTCTGCTCTCCACTTCCCGCAGGCGGCTCGGAAATTTGAGTGTGTCAGATCGCAGTATTTCGATCCTCAGGTGGTTGCTACGACCTGCTGTCATCCTTCGACGCTGCGACGGGTTAAGACCGAGGGCTGACTGCAGTCGTCCATGTCGATACATCAGCTAGAGAAGGCACGTATGTATAGGCCGATCAAGTAGCAGCCAGTCTGACCGAGTCAACAAGGACCGACTCGAAAGCGAGAAGAGGCTAAGCTCCAACTCTCGTCGCCACCTCCGAATTCAGTACGCGCAGCAGAGCGAGGTGGACCAACGGAGTTGCACGCGTGTAGCTGCACCAGCCAGCGCATCTGTACGTCTCATGCCGCATCCGCACGACGAAGGACAAGGTAGCGGCAACCACAAAGGCGAACGTACGAAACCGATAAATTATAAAGACCGCCGACGAAGAAAATCTATGCGGCAGTGCTAGCGGACCCCCTTAGACCGGAGGCGAGCGAGGTTGTACGCCTCCATCTCGGCCTTGCGCTGCGCTTCGGCATCGGCGTTTTGAACCGCATCGATCGAGCGCAGCAACGACGCTGCCGAGTCCGCATCGATGGTGTCGTAGTGCGACTCGAGGTGCTTCATCACCGCTTCCTGCGTCGCAGCGTCCGTCCCCTCTTCGAACTCGACCTCGAGCGTCCCATCATGCGCCGCGTAGACCGACGTCCCCGCGACCGAAGCGAGCAGCCGGTCTTCGCTATATTCCGCCGGTGTTGTATCTAGACTCGCCTGCGGTTGGTCTGGACCCCTAGAACCGACAGTCTCGGCATCGTCAGACGAAGTGGCAGGCTGCGTGTCATCACCACTCGACGTCGCTCGATCCGCCCGCTCCACCAGACTGCGCAGCTTGTTCTTGAGCGCCTCGCCGCCCAGGCCATTGATGAGGTCGCGGATCTTGAGCGCCGAATTCTTGGTCTGCCACTGCGTCCAGAGCATCTGCTTCTGGTTGTTGGTCAGCCCGCCCACCTGTCCACGCTCGCCGCCCGAGTAGATCCCCGAAGTCGGCGATGGCAGGTGCGACTCCTCGGGCGCGCTAGGTTCCCAGAAGCGCTTGCTGCCCTGCCCAGCCCTTGCCCACTGGCCCTTCTTAGGCACGAGCAGAGGATGCGCCTCTGTAGTGAAGACGTACTCGTCGAGTGAGATGAGCTCGGGCGGCGAAAAGAGCAGGTAGTAGTACTTGAACGTCTCGGCGAACGTGAAGCTCTCCATGCTGTCGGACCAGTCGGCGGGCGAGCGATTGACGTCGTAGATGGCGCTGAAGCCGACGTCAGTCATGCAGTGCGTCACCCACGAGGCAAACATCTGCCATCCGCGCTCTTGCCACACCGGGTCGCCCGTGATACGCCACATGTAGAACACCGACTCGATCGTTTCGGGTCGGTTGAGGTAGCTCGTGTGGACGCTGCGCACGCCGACGATCGGATTGCCGCGTGGCTTGCCTCGTCGCGACGTCCCATCGGGAAGGCTGATGAGCTCGAAGCGGTCATCGTCATCGTTGGTGTAGAAGATGAGGTTCTCGGGACCGATGCCTGTCGTCGAGCTGTTGTAGGACCACCAGCACGTTCCCGTGATGCCTCTGGCTAGGTCGATATCGTCGGCGCGCTCTGTCATAATGCGCGAGCCGAGACCAAGCATACCGCCGCTGAAGCAGGCCAGATGCTCAAGCTTGGCGGTGTATCTGGAGCCAGAGAGCTCGCCGATGGTCATGAGGCTCACGCCGGGCACCGTGTCGATGCGAGAGATGAGCAGCTTCTTTGCGCCTTCGATGGCATCCGAGTACATGCGGCTGTACTGCTCGAGACGTCCGCCGAGCAGCTGATGCTCCTTGATGAGGTACTCGTAGTACGAGTCGGCCATGCCGCCAAACGAGATGGTGCCGTACGAGATGTTGCGCTCCGGGTAGATCATGTTGGGGAAGAGAGTCTCGATGCGACCGGCGGCGGTCATGTTGCGATCGAGCCAGTCGGTGGTGCGCTGAACGCGGTCAAAGTAGGTGCGGTTGCCGGTGACCTGCCAGAGCCGCGTAAACTCGAGGAGCAGACTGCCTGCTTCGGCGAGGATGACGCTGCCCGACTGGTCGAGAGGCTTTCTGGACGGATGTTCTGGCGTCTCCATCATGCGGATGCGCCCTGCAGGCACGCCAGTGATCGTGTCGAAGGCAGGGAGGATGAGCTGTGCGAGCTCCTCTGCGCGATCGCGCATGAGCACGTCACCGCTCAGGTCGTATGCTGAGACAAAGCCGCCGAGGTAGCGAATGGCGGTCTCAAAGACGGGGATGCGACCGTCGGCGTTGCCGTATGCGCTGCGATCGCCTCCGACGAGGCGGAAGTCAATGTCGCGCACGTGCTGCCTTGCCAGATCGTACTCCTTGGGGAGACCCATGACGAGCAGCGTGTCGAGGGCGTCAACGATACTGGCACCCCATCCATTGAAGGGATCCTGTGCGCTCTTGGAGACAGGGCGAAGCTCGTCGTGGCCCCATGCATGCTTCTTGTAGCCCTCCCAGGCGTGGATGAAGGCATTGCGCACCAGCTTCTGGCGACGTGCAACGAGCTCGTCTCGGGATGGATCGTTGCGGCGACCCGAATGACGCGCGGGATCCTCAAAGGCATGCTGCACCTTGGGAAGCGGCTTGGGAGCGGTGGAGAGTTCTTGGACGGGGGGCTTCCAGCCGTCCCAAGGGGCCTTGCGCCAGTCGGGCTCTTGTGGCTGCTTGTCGGGATGGTTTGCATCGGCAGCGTCGGACCTGGATTGATCGTTCCAGACGCGTGTTGTCCAGATCTCTGGGGTGATGGAGGGGGCCTTGTGTGGCCAGGGGGGCGGCTGGAGCACGGGATCGCGATCTAGGAGGCTTTCCAGATAGGCGGGCAGCTCGCCGCGATGCGGGTTGGTGTCCTTGTACAGCGAGGCCTGGGTTGGCGGCGTGCCGATGTAGCTGACCTCGCTGAGGCGAGGAGGAAAGGAGTCCGGACCGAGCTCGGCTGCTGTGTCGAGGGCGAGCGTGTCAGACAGGTTTGCGGTAGAAGAGGGATACCACGAGTCGGGCGACTCAGGCTTTGGGCGCAGCCATTTGGGTGGTTGCCATGCGGGCCAGCCTTCTGCCTTGAACTTTTTGACCGGGTCCATATCCATGACGAAAGGTCCGACGAGCAGCACCTGTGCCGAGACGATGAGCGCGACGAGCACAAAGATGACAAACATCTTGTGCTTTGCGATCCAGGAGATCAGGTGGGAGGAGGTGGAGCTGCCCACCTGCCGCGAGTTGATGGGCAGGTAGGAGGCTGTGGGTGTGCTGCCGAACATGCTGGTCGGTGCTTGGGCCTGTCCAGCAAGCGCCTGTGTCTGATCGTCGGCCACGTCGGACGTCTGCTTTTGGGTTAAAGTCTTGCGCTGACGAAGCGAGGATGGTGGAATCGAGCTAGCTAGGCTGCCTACATTCGGTGGGCCAGCGAAGTGTGAGGCGGTGTCGGCAGTCGATGCTGCTGGAGACGACGAGCTCGAGGTGGTGCGGGCCGGGTGGGGAGCAGACGCTGCCACCAGTGCAGGCAAAGGTGCGTCCGAAATATCTGAACCGAGATGCTCCTCTGAGCCCGTCGGCGTGGCGGAGGGCAAAGGCGGTGACGATGCTGGTGCGGACTGCTGCTGTGAGGGATCTATGGACGATTCGGAGGAAGCGACGCCGACGGACTGCGAGCAGGAGGAGGAGGAGGAGGAGGAGGTTGGGAGCTCGTGTGCGTCTGCAAGCTGCGGATCCTGCAAGCCCATCAAAGGCGACGCAAAGCTCTCGGGGCGTGGACCGAAGGGAGGGTGAGGGGGGAGGAGTGGCGAGCACCAAGTGCTGTCGGTGTTGAGGCGGAGGCGGAGGCGGTTAAGCGTCGAAGCGTTGAAGCGTCCAAGTGCGCTGGCCTGCGTGTGCGCGCCCGTGGGAGTGAGGACAGAGACAAGGCGGCGGCGCATCAGGCGTCACACGACGAGCAAAGAGCCCGGGCCAGGGAGCTGCGAGGCTGAGGCTGGCGGAAGCGCGGGGCGTTTGGCACTTTTCTTGGCTTGCAGCGCGGGTGCAGCTGCACGCGAAGAAAGCGTTCGGGCTCCAGCCGAGGAAAGAAAAAAAAAAAGCGTCGCCTCCCTCCTTGCGCTCGCTCTATCAGCCTTTCCACCGCTTCGAGACCAACACCGGAGTCCCGCCTCAGGTGACAATACAGCAAACCGTTGCATCTTTGCACTTCACAAAACCGGATCTTGACGCAAGGCCGACGTCGCAACCTCCTCTCAAAGGCGAGGATTCCGACACTTCATTCGATCCTCCGGCCTTTACCAAGTTGCAAGTGGCTCGACCGACCTGCACACTTTCAGACCCAGCCAAGATGCACTCCACATCGACCGACTTGACGTGCGTCGAGATTCCGCTCCTTTCGGCGGCAGCCGATCATCATCTCATCGTGGTGCCATCAGCCCATGCAGAATACACACATGCATTCCATACGAGAGCTGGTCGTATTTCGGGGTGCTGCCAGCTCAGCAGAATGAGCGATAGAATACAGGGCACGACGGGACAAGGAGCGCGCTACGGCTGATACGAGCCGTGAGCCAGACAGAGAAAAAAAAAACGGAGCGAAGCAATCAGAACGGAAGAACCGAGCACAATGAGAAGGTCCGCACAGCAAAGTCGAAGCTGAAATGGCGGCCATGGGTATAGAGGGTGCCCCGGAAGGGCGTGGAGAGAGGTGGAGGGCACACGACGTCTGCGATGATGATCCTAGAAGAAGTGCTGGTGCGACGCACCATGCTGCGAGTGTGCCTGGGGATGCGCGTGGGCATGCGCATGCGCGTGGTGCGCGACTTGCGACGATTCGGCCGGAGCACCGGCGCCAAAGTGGCCGTGGCCGTGGTGGCTGTTGCCGTTGTGCACGTCGTGATTGAACATGAAGCCAGTCGAGGGAGAGGCATCCGAGTGCTTGTACTGCACGTTCCACCAGTTGGTCGGATCCGCAGCAGTTTGCCAGTCCAGATTCGCCTGATGCTGCTGGGCAGCGTCCGGCGCGGCAGGCAGTGCGGCGGGGGCAGCCATCGGGGCGGCGTGGTTCGACTCGAGGTGCGAAGCCTGCAGCCCGAACCACTGGTCCAGCCTCTCGCGGTGCAGGAACTCGCGCTCGGGCAAGCTCGACGCCTCGTTCTCCGACCACTGCGATGCGGTGCTCGGTCGCGCCGTCGCCGTTGCCGTGGCCCACGGGTCCATCGATTCGGCCACCGACGAGCGGTGGTCGCCGGGAGACGCGTCCACGCCGCGAGCAAAGTCGAATCCAGTCGACATGCCGTCCGACGAGGCGCTGTCCAGCGACATGGTCAGAGAGGGGTCAGTGGGGTGCCCCACTACACCGCCGAATGCGTGCCCATCCGAGGCGCCGCCGCTGGCAGCCATGAGATGAGACGACCACATCAGCGAGTCCACATCGGCCGACGAGCCGACGCTTGTCGAGTGCGCTTCGTTCATCCACTTGGACAGCAACATCGACTCGCGCTCCTCGTCCGAGCTGCGCAGCAGGTCGCCCGCCAGATTCTCGATGGCGTCCTTGCACTTGGCGCCGATGGGCGTGATGCGACCCATGTCGACAAGCAGGCGCACGCACGTCTGCAGCAGGCTCACCCACTCGCGCGCTTCCTCGCTGCTGGGTTCGTCCAGCAGCGAGACGAGCGGCACGAGCGCGCTCTGCGTGAGGAAGTAGATCGCATGCCATGCCATCGCCTGATTGTGAGGATGCGAATCCCAGAAAGCCGAGATGGAGCGGATGTTGTTGCTCGCCATCCTTCGGCACAACGCAATCGCCTGCTTCACCGCAGGACGCAGCGCAGGACGCGGCGCGCCGCGGTCCCGCGCAGCCGCAGCCGCGACCGAATTGGACAGCAGGAACGGTCGGAACATGACCATGCGGAAGTTGTTGCACCTCCATCGCAGACGCGCCGAGGCGACCGAGAACGACGCAGGACGCGGGCCAGCATAGCCGTCGTCCATGTAGTCCGGCAGGCTGTCGACAAACTCCTCGGTCTTGAGGTCGAAGGCGCGCACCTCTTCGATGGTGGGATTGGGCCCCTTCATCAGGCGCGCCTGCAGCGGCATGCTGATCTTCGAGGCAAACTTGGCGTGGATGGCCAATGTGGAGCTCAGCGTGGCCTCGGACACTTCGGAAGGCAGCTCGTCCGAGGTCGGAGACATGGCCGTCTCGTCGACATTCTGAGGAGGCGCCACATCGGCATTGATGCTCAGCAGGCCGTTGGGGCGTGCCATGCTCACGCACGTGTCGGCCTCCATGGTGAAGAGCGTGTACCACAAGCGACGACCGAATTCACGGTCGAAGGCGGGCATGTCGCGCGCCTGGAGCGCAGCCTCCGAGTGGAGACCCATGGCGATGGCCATGCGCAGCGCACTCCCGAGCACCATCCAAGCGCTCGAAAAGAGGTTCTTCTTCTGGCAGTAGGTGGCCATCAGAGTGAGCGCCTGGACCGACATGATCTCGGCCTTGTCAAAGAGCACGGCATTGTAGAGCTGCTTGGCGCGCTCGTAGAAGACCGTGTCTACGTCCACTTCCTCAGCCGAGACCCTGCGCTCGAAGGCGCCGAGCGCAAAGACCATGTTGACCAGCATGGGCCAAGCGGGCGACTGCGGAGGGCAGACGGTACCCTGGAGCTGGGCACGGAAGGTGGCAGGGTGGAGGATGGGGTAGGAGGTCAGATGGAACTCGAAGAAGGACTCGAGCAGGTCCACTGCGAAGCGCTGGCTCTCCGAGTCCCAGGCAGCAAAGTTGACGTTGTCCGGCAAGGCAGACGCGTTCTGCATCTGCATGGCCGAGGTGGCCGATGCCGAGGCGCTGGCGAGACCCTCACACGACACATCCAGCCCACCAGCCGAAGCCGAGCGGGGAGCGGCGTCGTGGCTGGCGAGCGTCGGGAGGGCCGAGAAGTCGGCCGGGCCCGCCGACTTCCTGCCGAGGCTCAACTGCGAAGCGATCTGGAGAGCGGCGTTGCAGCTGGTAAGGCTGACAAAGTTGCCACCACCGAGGGCATCGACGTCCTTGGTCGAGTTGGCAGCGTCGCCCGAAGGCTTGGAGGAGGGGGAAGCGTCGTCGGCCAGGTCACCGTCGTTGGCATCGTCGTTGGAGCCGTCCGACATGGAGCGGGGACGCTTCTTGGATGGCGACGAGGGAACGTGGCTGGCGAAGCCGCAGCTGTGCATGGGGCCCTCGCCGGTCAAGGAGCGGTTGGGCATGATGGGCTGGGTGGCACGGCGCTGAAGAGCGGGGCCGGCTGTCGAAGGCTTGTCAGCCGACGAGGCCTTGCCAGCTGCGGTGTTGCCCAACGCCTGAAGCTCGGCGATCTTCCTGTTTGCATCTTCGAGCTGGGTCTCGAGGGAGCTGACGTACTGGCGGGGGATGGGCGATCGCTTGGGAGGGTCGACGTAGGCGCACGACTTGGTGCGGCTGTGAGTGATGCATCGGCCGCAGAAGGGGAGGCCGCCATCGCAGCGCATCTTGCGCGACTTGCATTCGGTACACGCACGAGCAACTTTGGAGCGGCCATCGCTGGTGCCGGGCTTGCCGAGATCGCTGGGGTGGATGTTGTCGAAGCCGGTGTTGCTGTAGGGGAGGAAGGCGAACTGTCCAGGCTGAGCATCGTTGGGGTTGATGTGGACGGGGCCCGGGCCGAAGCTGGGCTGATTTTCTGCTTTGATGAAGCCCATTGTGAACTAGAAGATGAAGTGGCTGGAGAGCAATGGGGCGGTGGTGGGGTCGAAACAGTAGTAGGATTGGCTCTTACGACCGAGTGGCGAGAGGTTCGTGGTGGTCGCGGAGACCGGTGTTGGGATAGCCGCGAAGCTGAAAGTGGTAGGGAAGGGGCTATGACAAATGCTCGAGGGCCGTCAAGCAGCGGATGTTTTGGCCATGGATCTATCAACGAATCCGAACGAGAAGGATGAGCGATGTCACACCGGCGCCAGAGTCGAAGACGGGCTGGGCGGCTCTGCGATGCAGGTGCAGACGTGTGAGATGGCGGATATGCTGGACGAGGCGCGTGGTCGGATCTGATCTAGAGGCGAATACGATGGGCCTCGCTGATAGTGTGGCGATTGGAGTCTACACCAGAAGTAGGTCGTAGGTATAGATAGTCGAGTAGCAGTGCTGCTTGCCACTTTTTTTTCCGTTTTGGTCGTCGAGTCTACTCTGAGCTGACGTTGTGATAGGGGTGAGAACGAGACGTAGGGCGTGAGGGTTGGGGAAGAAGAAGAGGAGGAAGACGGTGGTGACGTTGGGTGTAGGAAGGAGCGGGACGGGAGGGGGATTCCAGGATCACGCGAAGTAGGGATTGCTTGACGAAGCTACAGCAGACGGCAAACCGGCAGGCGGCACCACGACTCAAAGACAGGGTCGACGACGGGCAGCGGAGGGGAGAAAGCGGGCTATCAATCAGGCAAGTGAGCGTGAGGATGTCGCCACGGACTGCTGTTGCGCCTGGCGTTGTGCGAAAGATAGCAAGACCGAAACCGAGCTGCTGCCCTGCGATTCCACGCTCCCTCTTCCCCTCTCTCTCTCTCTCTCT